CAACAAGAAGTCTCGATTAAAACCAAAAGTAGTTAAAAAATAAAGATAAAAACTTATATCAAATCCTCCACCAAACTCTTGAAGTTCTTTTGAATCTCTTTTCTTTTACAACACTCTTGACTCTCGCAATAAAACTAAAAAAAAAAGGATAAAGTAAATATGTGGTGCCTGAAAATCTCTCCAAACGCAAGCACTTTTCAGGACTTCCCCTTTTCAAGCACTTTTCATGACCCTTCTAAAAGCCTTAACTCCCTTCTTTTATAATTTTCCAAGAGGTTCCTTGGTAACTCTTCAAAATATGTCCAAATTTGATGTATTCTTTAAAGGATGCCTCCTTTTTAAAGGATGCCTCCTTTCTTTAAAGGATGCCTCCTTTCACAAGTCCTTTAATCATATTTTCATTTTTAGCGGTCATAACCACCCTTTTTAGCCAATAGATGTCTCAAATGTCACTTCAGAGTTTGGAAAAATGAATTAAACCGTCAAATAACCACCTTTGGTGCTTAAGCGCGGGGCCTCCGGTGCTTAGGTGTGGCCTTCTCTGTTTCACCGCCGCTTAAGCGCCGGATCTGGCACTTAGGCGCCAAAACTCTTTTGCACTATTTTCACATTTTGCTCCAAATTTGATCTTTTTCACTCCTTTTAGCATTTTTCACTTTTTTACTTGTACCTGAAAGAAAAACACACAAATACCTTACATTAAAGTGAATATCTCAAAAATAGGTATAAAAATGTGTCTAAAAATATTATATATTTTAGGTGTATCACAACTCAATAACACCAGTCAAATACGACCACAGAACCACCATAATACCACTTAAATAATAACTTAATAACACCAGAATAACATATCAATAACACTCAGTTCTAGTACAAGATTTAGATTTCATCCACCTTGAAAAAATTTCAGTCAGTCATGCAAACCAATAATGAAATTTAGAAGAGAAATAAGGTGGAAGAAACATAAATCACCACTGCCCTCCACCAAATCAACTCATAATTACTAGAACATGAACAAAGTTAGGTATGGTTTTTAAAGGCACAATTTAAAACCTAATTTTAAAGACATAATTTAAAACTAAATTCAATTCAGTACCCTAAC